AGCACCCACTTTGTGCCAGGCACAGTTCTAGGCACTGGGTGGGGGTACACCTGTGAGCAAAACAGACAGAAATCTCTGCATTCCTAGGGCTGACATTCTAGTCAGAGATTCAACAAACGAATGACACCTTGATGTATAATTTTATTTTATTTTAATTGTTTTTGGAGACGAAGTCTCACTGTTGCCCAGGCTGGAGTGCAGTGGTGTGATCTCGGCTCGCTGCAACCTCCGCCTCCCTGGTTCAAGCAATTCTCCTACTTCAGCCTCCTGGGTAGCTGGGATTACAGGCGCGCACCACCATACCCGGCTATTTTTTGTATTTTTAGTAGAGACAGGGTTTCACCATGTTGGTCAGGCTGGTCTTGAACTCCTGAAATCAAGTGATCCTCCCTGCCTCGGCCTCCCAGTGTGCTGGGATTACAGGCGTGAGCCACCAAGCCCGGCCCAATGTATAATTTTAAATCAAGAGGTCATTACTGATACGTAGAAAAAACTCGAAAAGCAGGGCAACAGGGTGCACAATGACGGGGGAGCTATTTTGGAAAGGTGTGAGAGAAGAGATCAGGTCACCAAAGACCTGAATGAAGCAAGGAAGGTATATGGGGGAAACATTCTCCCGAGGTAGGCGCATCCGTGGTATGTTCGAGGGACGGTGGCGAGGCCAGGCGTGGCTAGAGGGGAGTGAGTATTGCCAGTGATTTGTGGGGGACATGACATGGGGGACATGGGCGGTCCGACAGATTTTTCTAGCTACTTCCTGATGCCGCACCATTCGGCTGCTTTTTTGAGTTCCGCTCAAAGATGACTTCACCGTGAGCGTCTCAACATGCCCAGGGCAGGAGCCCAAAGTAGAACGATTTGTTGACCTTCCTCGAATAAACAGGCCCAGATGGGGGCTTCTGTTCTCGGGGGAGGGGAGAGGCTGGGCCCTGGAGAGACTGGGACTGGGGGGGGTTGTGGCTGCCGGGGAGCCGGCCAGTCTTTCTGCCCTAAATAGGCAGGGCTGGGTGCCTGCCCTCCTAAACCCTCCTCCCTACTTCCCTCCCTCCTGCCGTCCAGACAAGCCGCTTTTGTCTGAGGGTCAGCCGTCAGCCTGAGGCTGCCTGCTGCTACCCAGCCTCACTCAGACCCATGTGAGGCTTCTTCTGCCTCTGACCCTCTCTTTTCTAAAATGAGGTTAAATCCTAATGTCCTGGAGACCCCATCCGTGTTGCTTCAGCCCTTACGCCACCTCTTGTCACGGTCACTCCCCTAAAAGGGCTTTCACCTTCATTAATTCACATCTGATGAGAAGTGCTCTTTTCCTGCAGCAAGAAGCACCCAGGGTAGACTAACGGAAATTTCTTTTCCTTTTTTCCTTTTTTTTTTTTTTTAGACAGAGTCTTACTCTGTTGCCTAGGCTGGAGTGCAATGGCGCAATCTCGGCTCACTGCAACCTCTGCCTTCCGTGTTCAAGCAATCCTCCCGTCTCAGCCTCTCAAGTAGCTGGGACTACAGGTGCAAACCACCATGCCCCGCTAGTTTTTGTATTTTTAGTGGAGACGAGGTTTCACCATATTGGCCAGTCGGGTTCCAACTCCAGATCTCATGTGATCCGCCCGCCTCAGCCTCCCAAAGTGCTGGGATTACAGGCGTGAGCCACTGCGCCCGGCCTGACTCCTGGAAATTTCTTATGGCGATAAGGAACGGTAGACCCACTGGAGCTTCCTGGTGGGAGTGGACCAAAGGCAGAAGGAGGATGTGGTCTCTGGGGCAAAGGAACGTGCTGGGGATGGCTGCTGCAGTACCAGTAAGGCTAGACTCACAGGACTGTCTAGGAGGCTTGGAGGTTCTTTCTGAAGGGAGAGCAAAGAGCTATATGAGTCGTGGTCAGCCTGTTTTATCCATATTGGGGAAAGAGGCAATCTGCAGCAGGAGGGACTTAAGGAAGACTCACAAAAGGACCTTCTGTTGGTGATAAGGGGCAATGGGTGTAGCTGAAAAAAAAGGTCAAAGACAGGGAGAGGCTGGGCGAAGTGGCTCACACCTGTAATCCTGGGACTTTGGGAGGCCGAGGCGGGTGGATCACCTGAGATCAGGAGTTCAAGACCAGCCTGGGCAACATGGTGAAACCCCACCTCTACTGAAAACACAAAAATTATCTGGGCATGGTGGTGGGCGCCTGTAATCCCAGCTACTCAGGAGGCTGAGGTGGGAGGATTGCCTGATGCCGGGAGGTAGAGGCTGTGGTGAGCTGGGATCATGCCACTGCCCTCCAGCCTGGGCGACAGAGTGAGACTCTGTCTCAAAATAAATAAATAAGTAAACAAACAAATAAAGTAAAAAAAGAAAAACTTGGAGAAGAAGGCAGACCTATGACTAAGGGATCTGGGGGTCATGGACACTACCTTTTAGTAGTAAACTGTCCTTACAACAATCCCTCAGGTTAGACTCAAGGAGGGACATTCTAATCGGGGTTGAGGGGTTCTGAGCACAGATTGGGGGGAGCAACTGGTAAACAGGGGGCAAGAGATGGGGGTTTTCTGAGGCCTCATCACACCTAAGAGGGAATGAGATGGGGCTGCAGCATGAAGGACTGGAGTTAGACAGTCAGAAGGACTTTCTAATGGGGATGAGGGGACGGAGATCTTGAGGGGTTCCTGGGACTCAGGTACTGCTTTTATCCTTTTGAAGCAAGAGCCTCATTGTCAAAGTGAAACTCTGCCCATAAGCTCATGGGGACCAGTTGGCAGAGGACTGGGGGCCTTCTGACCATCCTTCTCTCCCTATACCTTCAGGAGGCCCTGCCTGGGCTCGTCTGGGACCTGGGCCAGCAGCTGGGAGACCTGAGCCTGGAGTCTGGGGGCCTGGAACAGGAGAGCGGGCGCAGCTCGGGTGAGCATGGATAGAGGGGTAGGGTCTGCCTGGGATGCCTCCATGTTCCCTGTATCCCTATTTCTCCATGTCTCTCCCCACGCCATCTCCTCCTTTCCCCAGCCCTGGTTTTCCCACCCAAACCCCCTGAAATCTCTCTGCTTCTCTTGGAAATTCAGGCTTCTATGAAGATCCCAGCTCCACGGGAGGTCCAGATTCACCACCCTCAACCTTCTGTGGGGACAGTGGCTTCTCTGGATCCAGCTCCTATGGTCGCCTAGGTCCCTCTGAGCCCCGGGGTATCTATGCCAGCGAGAGGCCCAAGTCCCTAGGTAAGGTGGGTGAGGGTGGGACCCTGGGACCAGGGAAAGGACTGTAAGAGTACGGTTGTGGGCACAGACTTCCAAATCGGGCCTGGATTCCAAGTCCTGGTGCAACATTTCCTTTTCATGTGATTATGAGCAGGTCTCTTATTTCTGGGCCTCTGTGTTTCCATCTGTTAAAATGAAATATGGCTGGGTGCGGTGGTTCACGCCTGTAATCCCAGCACTTTGGGAGGTGGGCAGATCACTTGAGGCCAGGAGATCCAGACAACCTGGCCAACATAGTGAAACCCCGTCTATATAAAAATTAGCTGGGCGTGGTAGCGAACACCTGTAATTCCAGTTACTTGGGAGGCTGAGGTGGGAGGATCGCTTGAACCTGGGAGGTGGAGGTTGCAGTGAACCAAGATTGCGCCACTGCCCTCCAGTCTGGGTGACAGAGCAAGAGTCTGTCTCAAAATAAGTAAATAAATAGGCTGGGCACACTGGCTCTTGCCTGTAATCCCAACACTTTGGGAGGCCAAAGCAGGTGGACCATCTGAGGTCAGGAGTTCGAGACCAACCTGACCAATATGGTAAAACCCTGTCTCTACTAAAACTACAAAAATTAGCTGGGCGTGATGGCCTGTGCCTGTAGTCCCAGATACTCTGAAGGCTGAGACTGGAGAATTGCTTGAACCCGGAAGTGGAGGTTGCAGTGAGCCAAGATGGAGCCACCGCACTCTAGCCAGGGTGACAGAGTAAGACTCCGTCTCAAAAATATTATAAATAAATAAATAAGGCCGGGC